CACCCCTTTTCCTCGGAGAAAATATGCATTAAAATTGATTCTTACTGAATGCCTGATTACTAGTATCATAAAAAGAAGAATAATGGTGTATTATTAGGTTGCTGTTACAGTATATTACATGTAACACTATATGTATAAGCTTTGTTAAAATTGAGGGTGGGAATGGGGAATGTATCAACAACAACCCGACCCTTAGACCCGACCAAAGAGCAGTGCAAATAGATCAAGTGTTCACTTAAGACATGCATTTAGTACACTCAACCCATTATTGACTATACATTTTAACTTGTTCTAAATCACAAAAGATAAAATTTCATGTCTTATACTCGTACAGCGTTTAAGGATTTGAATTTTTCTAATTCTTCGATGTCTTTTAAGATCGATGCATGTTTGAACACGATTGAAGATCATTGAATTGATTCTTAGGTTTTTCATCGTTTATTTCAACAAGCGTCAATTCATTGTACAGCCACAGTTATAAATATTTGTTAATCATGTATAAAACATACCTGTCGCCAATTTTGTTTTTTTTTCGCTGCCACTTCTTTTGTCGTAAATGGCATCAACATTCATTAAAATACACAATAACATCTGAACATATGGCAGCAAAATTGTAAATGTGAAATTTTACGCGTACATAAGTTAGAAGTGCAGACGAGATGATGACGTCTATTTCCGAGATCTGTAGTAAAATCATGCTGTGATTGACAAGCATTAGTGTTGTGGGGAATTATCAAGATTATACAGGCACACAGTGAACGATAATTATAAATTGTGTTTGGATATTGTGTAGTAAACTCAAGTAGTTTGAAAAGTAAAGACAACAAACCTACCAGGAGCATAAGAAGTGATACGTTCAGGTACTGTTATTTAAGATTTAAAATGTTTCTTTAACTTAAACTTTTGTAATTTATGTATCATCAGAATAGTTATTACGTTTGTTTGTTTCGGTTTTTGTTTTATATTCAGAGAGATTTGTAGGACTTTATGGTTGTCTTTGTTAATACGAATAAAATTGGTATTCTCGCTTTTTCTATTATTATGATTATACCGGTTTTTTTGGAACTATATAAATATAAGTAGATGTACGTGGTATATGATTGCCAATGAGACAACAATCGACCAAAGCTTAAATGAAGAGGTTGTAAGCAATAATTATTATATGCAACCGTCCGGCCTTCAACAATAAGTAAACCCGCACTTTATAGTCGGCAATATAAAATGTTCCGACCTCAAAATCATGAAACAATTCAATTAGAAAACAAACGACCTACTTCATAACAAAATAGTCGACAAAAAACAAAGACATGTGTCTATATCATCATGCACTGGTATACAGGCCATGCAGAGTCTAGACGCATTGCATAAATCTAATACAACCTTTCCAAGATCTGACATCAAGACCTGCACTCTCCAATGACAAAAAACTGGTAAATTATTAAGTCAGGGATTTCGTTACCAAATTATTTAAAACCTTCACTAAACTCTTCCATAGATATTTAGATTTGGTTTGGAAGTTTGGTTGTATTTTTAATCGGAAAGCACACCCTAGTTTTTACGGAGATGTACATGTAGTTTGCCGAGCCTGGAAATTAAGATACGTCCCGGGTAAACTTATCGTTCCTTTTATTAAACTTATTCTAAAAAGGTTACCAATTCAACGCTATAATTAGATCTGTTTGTACTGTTTTCATTGGTGTAGTGGTTATCAGTAAATTAAAATCAAACTAAATATTAATTTAAATAGGCACATTCATTTATAATAAATCTTTACACTAAATCCTTTATATAGATGTTGGATGTGAACTTATTTGATATTTTAGTCTTAGATGCATGATTTTATTAGTTATTATTGGCTTTGAACAGCTGTCAACAACTGCGAGTAGGAAGTACACCACTAATTCATGGCCCTATTGCTTTCTATGTTAAATTCCTCAATTTCAAGCAGACACAGCTCTTTTGTTTCAAGTTCAAATAAAGTGACAATCATTGCATGTCAAAGCAACACTTTATGGTGTCTTGTACTGGAAAAATCAATATACCTTTAATGGCATATAAGAAAGAACTGGTTCCCGGAACTTCGGATGTACCAAAACAGGTACTTCAGATCTGACATACAGGCAAAAAGTACCCTCTTTATAAAATTTGGTGCAGTTTTTTTAATATTCAAACTTATAAGTCAAAAAGTGTTCTACAATGATCACCAGTCATTCAGCTTTCATTTCATACCAACAATACCTAAATATTCTACATATTTTGAAAGTTACACTCATGCGTAGGAACTATTTTGTGTTAAATATGTACTACTTTCTGGTATGTGCTTTCTGGCCGGGCCGAATTAGTGGTGTTACACCTATAACAGAACCAAACTTGCTATACTGACTTCAGCATCACTTTATTTCATTCTATGATCTATTTCAAGCAATAAAAAACACATAAAGCTTAAGTCTAAATTCTATTTTACTAATTTTAAGCTCAAATTGGACTGGTAGTAACATATAGGTTATTCAAAGAAAACTGCATATGGATATTATAAATGGCCAATATACTTATTTTATTCTCAATATCATTGTTGTATTTAATAATTTCTGTTAGGAAAACAATGTTCTTACCAATACTCATATTTCACCAGAGTTTGTTCATTTAATAAAAATATATTAGACCAAACCTAAGACATAATTGAGAAAATTGTCCCCCCTTTTTTCTTCAAATTGGAAAAGGGACATTTTTGGTATAAACCATACTTCTGTGGTACAACATATATTATAAAGAGCAATTTATGTATTTTTCAGCTGGATAACTTGCTAAACTGGTTCAAAATTGCATGTACAGTGAGATTTTGGAATTCTTATATGAGTATATACCAATTGCCTAGATTGTAAAAGGCTATCATAAGAAAACCAATAAAACTTGAAAAATCATAGGATTATTTGACCAAGAGCTATTTTTTACCACAAACAAGTCATTATATACATGTTTTATTGATTGCAATCCCAAATAATGCAAAAATAAGAATTTGGAGTCAAGTCTTAACTGCATGCATGTTGTGTGACCATAAAAGGCTAAAATACCTGATTATGTCAATTTAAGAGCTGAAATTTCCCATAAACAGAATTGTTCATCCAAAAAAGATGATTAAACATGTTTACTTACATCAAATATGACTTATTTTCATTGGAATAGGTACAACTTCTAAAAATTGAATTTCTGATGATTCTCTGTAATAGGAAGTACACCACTAATTCATGGCCCCATTGCTTTCTATGTTAAATTCCTCAATTTCAAGCAGACACAGCTCTTTTGTTTCAAGTTCAAATAAAGTGACAATCATTGCATGTCAAAGCAACACTTTATGGTGTCTTGTACTGGAAAAATCAATATACCTTTAATGGCATATAAGAAAGAACTGGTTCCCGGAACTTCGGATGTACCAAAACAGGTACTTCAGATCTGACATACAGGCAAAAAGTACCCTCTTTATAAAATTTGGTGCAGTTTTTTTAATATTCAAACTTATAAGTCAAAAAGTGTTCTACAATGATCACCAGTCATTCAGCTTTCATTTCATACCAACAATACCTAAATATTCTACATATTTTGAAAGTTACACTCATGCGTAGGAACTATTTTGTGTTAAATATGTACTACTTTCTGGTATGTGCTTTCTGGCCGGGCCGAATTAGTAGTGTTACACCAGTACACTCAGATCTGTACTTAGTGTACAAGTGTTATTTTATCTCCCACTGTAATTAATTTTGTCATATTTTAAGTTTTGGTTATCGTCTGTTAAAGTCATTAAGTCAAAGGGCTATCCTGCTATAAGATTAACATAGCATGCTCTCAAGGTCATGTAGTAAATACTTTTATATGATTTATATGTTTTATTTTTGTAAACAAAGAGTTGGAGAATATTTGGAGAATATTTGGAGAATATTTAGGTCAGTTGGAGAATATTTGGAGATTATTTAGGTCAGTTGGAGAATATTTAGAGATGATAGGTATATAAGAGCTCTCTGTTATAGTCTTTAGGAGAATTGAAGGCGAGAAAAGACCCATACAATATGAAACGTTAAAAAGGATTTTGTTATTCTGGGCAGATTTTAGCAGATTTTGGGAGGACTTATAGATTCATAGAAAGTTGTGTTACATTACTATTCAACTGTATGTATTTTTGATATTTTTGTCCGCTCAGACTGTTGCATTGTTTTGTCCGCATAGTATTGGACACTATGCATGGTTTTTTTTGTGTGCACAGTATTGGACACTGTTAACAGTCTCCGGGACAAGTTTGCACTTCCGCTGAGTGCAAAAGTTGTCACCTTAATTTTTGGAGTTAAGTCAAAATGAAGTTGATAACTTGGTTGGTATTGGTTCCCTGATATTTGTCCTAAAATTTTTTGGCTCTAGCACCACTGTTGAAAAAGTTATGCCCCTTTTTTCAACAATTTCCTCAGAGGAAAAGTAGTTTTCCTCAAGGGAAATCAAATTTCCCTAAAGGAAAAAGATTTTTCCTTAAGGGAAATTGTATTTTCCTCAAGGGAAAAACATTTCCCTTAGGGAATTTGCTGCATTAATATTTCCTCTGAGGAAATTCTATTTCCTCTGAGGAAATTTGCGGCTTCAAATTTTCCTTTGAGGAAATTCTATTTCCTCTGAGGAAATTTGCAGCTTCATATTTTCCTCTGAGGAAATACTTTTTCCTCTGAGGAAATTTGCAGCTTCAAATTTTCCTTTGAGGAAATACTTTTTCCTGTGAGGAAATTTTGTCAACTGCAATTTCCTTTGAGGAAATTTTTAACAAACACTTTTCCTTGAGGGAAAATTCAATACCACAAATTTCCTCTAAGGAAAACATTATTCTCCAAATTTCCTCAAAGGAAATTTCTGTACATCAACTTTCCCTGAAGGAAATGGTTTCCCCTATTTTTACTCATTGTAAATTTCTTCACTATACAAACAGTATGAACATAATGTTTACAAGACTTAATAAATGATAAAAATGATATTTAAAACTTTAATAAATTTTTGCCTCAAAATTATCATGACATACAAAAACAATACAGTGAGTCTGACTGTTTAGGTCAAGATATTGTACATACTTTATAAGACTTTAACTTTGATTTATTAAATATTTTTTGTAGCAAAGTATTCTGTTTTCTTTGTTATTGTTTCAATTGTATACATTAATAAGCAACCAATTTGGATGTCATACCATTTGTGGTGTTCTTAAGAATGCGTTCATATTTGCAAATTAAATAATAAAATAAACACTTTTCTTGTAAATTTTAATTTTCCTCTGTTTCAGCTGCTGTGTCATGTGTGTACAGTTATTCAATCCACTACGTAAAAGTTCAATGCATAAATTATTCCATTCACTAAACAATTTCCTTCAATTCTTAGAGAAAACATTTTTGCAATTTGTTCTTCGAAGATCTTCTTCAGTATATTTGATATGAGGTAACGATGAAATGAGTGGATAAAGCTGGTGTTCCTTTCAACAACAAAATACTATTTTTTTCTTCATTTCTCCCTTCTTTCGACAAATATATATAATATGTTGTTGCATTTACATGTATACAATTGTGAATTTCTGCATCTATGATAGAACTCCATTTTGTTTATAGCCATTATCATGTGATTATGATGAAATTTCCTATTTCTTTTTTGCAGGCAATCACACATTCCATCTCACATTAATCCAATTAGCGCACCATGTAGATAGATATCAACTTTCAGTGTCCTCTTCAGTATTGACCTATTGATCATGAAAACCAAGATGTCTGATCACCTATAAATACACAAAATAAACAAATAAAATGTTATAAATGGAGAGAGAAACAGCAATAAAAAAGCTTATTTTGTCATGTTAATGAACATTTTAAGAATATTTCCTTTCTTACTTGTGAGTTCTCTCAATTCCGTGCTTTTTGTCTATGGGTTTTTATATTTGTTGATTTTGTGCATTTTATCAATCTTTTGAATTGAGGCAATTGCAACGGTTATTTTACAGTTTGTTCTTTATATGTTGAGCTGTTAAACCACTGTCCAAAGTTAAGGTAGGGTTGAGTGCTCACAAACCTGATTTTTTTTATTACATGTATTAGTTTTTATTGATTTTTAACTAGCTGTCAGTAACTGTGAGTACTAACAGATCTTTGTGTCTTTTCGATAATGGGAAAGGTATAAATTTCCTGATCAGTCCGGACTGTTTATTTTTTTGCAGGAAATCTACCGGTATGTCATTTCTTGTCTGGTGAAGAGTTGTCTTATTGACAATCATGCCACATCTTCTTATTTTTATATAACCTTGCCATATTTTGATTGTGCCTGTCCCAAGTTCGGAGCCTGTAGTTTATTCTGACACTAAAATTTAGTGGTTGTAGTTGTTTCATATCTGTCATATTTATTTTTTTTTAATTTGTTTTGTTATAAACTAGGCAATTAGTTCTACAGTTGGGATTATTTCAATTTTTCATCTGAGGGCCTTTTATTATGACTACTTTGACAATAGGGCATGGATTTTCTCATTATTGAAGGCCGTCCCTGGCCTATAATTGCTTTCTTAGAGCAATGATCAATAGTTTTCATATTTAATATACCACATCTTTTTTATTTTTATAATAATCATGATAATCATCTTTCAAGGGCAATAATTTTTATAAAAGTGGCCTTATGAGTCTTATCGAGCATCACTGATGAGTGTTTTGTAGACGAAACGTGCGTCTGGCGTAAATACAAAATTTAATCCTGGTATCTATGATGAGTTTACTTACCATTTAGGATTTGTTGACTTCTGCAAATTTTAAATTGCCTATCATTTCTGCTGTTTATAATTTCTCTGTATCTTCTATAGTTCTTGTCCTACACATAAAAAGAGTAAAAATTATTATTTAATGACATCTTGCATCAATAATCATTTTGCTGTTTAATGTATATATATCAATGCGTGTTTAATAAAAAGCTGTACCATGAGTGCTTGATAAGCTTGTTGTCCTTTTAGCTTGGGTTTATGCTTTAAATGAATTTTAATGATCAACTACATTAATCATTATAGAAAAACTGTGAGCACTGCGCAACTAAGACACCCCCCCCCCCCCCCCCCCCTAAAAAAAAAACTACAGGCTCTAAAGAGCCTGTGTCGCTCACCTGACTCTATTTGGGTTTTTGAAATCATATAAAAAAGATAAAAATCATAACACATACTTTAATAATGATTGAGGCCATATTTGGTTTAATATTGTCATACTTCGCTGGCGGCCATCTTGGATGATGGATCGGCTACAGAGTAACAACACTTGGTCAACACCTTATAAGGAACATTCATGCTATGTTTGGTTTCATTCCATTCAGTGGTTCTCTAAAAGAAGACATTTGTATGTATTTCCTATAGGGTCCTATCTTAAACTAAGTCCCCCGCTGCCGGCCATCTTGGATCAAGTAACAACTCTTGGTCAGCACCTCATAAGGAACATTCATGCCATGTTTAATTCCATTCCATTCAGTGGTTCTCTAAAAGAAGTTCAAAATATAAAAAGTTAACAACGGCGACGGACGACGACAGACGACAAGTAATGAGAAAAGCTCACTTGGCCTTTCGAGCCAGGTGAGCTAAAAAAGGACATGCACACAGTGGTATACATTGAAACAAAACATGAAAATAATTTGGCTCCATTTAGGGATATTGCAAGTGTATACAAGTTTAAGGCCGTGATTTTTGAACAAATACAATTCTAAAACCTTCCAAAGTGTGAAAATGGACAATTTTAAACAATTTTCCAACAACTAAAATTCCATAACTCTGCATCTTATATAAAAATAAATAGGGGATGATACTCCGGCTTGCATATCATATAAAGTTATAAAGGAAGATTACTAAGAACGGTAAAATTTATTCTACTTAAATTTGAACTTGATCTGATTTTGTGGTAAAAAGTATTGCGTTAAAGTTTAATAAAATTTGGTTGAGGCAAACTTAATTTAGAGGACGGAAATGAAAAATTCATCATTTTTTCCATTTGTAAAGGACATAACTCTAGAACAGTAAAAGTGACACCACCAAAATTCAAACTGTTTTTTGTGGTAATAAGCATTGTGTGCAAATTTCATAACATTTGGTTGAGGCAAACTAAAGTTAAAGTTAGAGAGCGGGAAACCAAAAATTAAGCAATTTTTCCATTTGTAAAGGGGCATAACTCTAGAACGGTAACACTGACACCACCACACTTGATCTGAGTATTGTGGTAATAAGCTTTTGTAAAAGTTTTATAACATTTGGTTGAGGCAAACTTAATTAGAGAACAAAAACCAATGACTTTGGGACAGACGGTCAAGGGTTGACCCACTAAGGGTCATAACAATGAAAAGGGAGTTTATGTCAATATATAAAATCAATTCACCAAAGTTTCATAACAATTGGTGAAAGCATTCTTGAGACTATCCAAAGTCCCAATATACAACAAAAACTTAAATCAGAATTTTTTAAAAATTGAAAGGGAAATTATCATGATTATCAGTCAGGGATATAACTCTATAGGGTTATTACAGAAAATAACTTGCATGTGTTATTACAGATACTTTCATGAGTTGTCTACTCTTAAATCCTTAAATTTTCTAAATCTGTAATAACATATATTTGTTATTTGTAAAATAAATCATAAATATTTTGATTTTTAGTAGGCTCTAGGGAACTCTTGAAACTTTGCGCAGAAACTAAATGCATAGCCTTGATAACTAATTTTTGAATTAAATTAATACATTTTTCATTAACCATGGCAAATCAATGAACGAGGCTTTTAAGGGATAAACTTAGCTGTAATAACAAGGCTTATGTTGTTCTGTTACACCACTGTCCCAGGTTAGGGGGAGGGTTGGAATCCCGTTAACATGTTTAACCCCGCCTCATTCTGTATGTATGTGCCTGTCCCAAGTCAGGAGCCTGTAATTCAGTGGTTGTCGTTTGTTTATGTGTTACATATTTGTTTTTTCGTTCATTTTTTGTACATAAATTATGCCGTTAGTTTTCTCGTTTGAATGGTTTTACATTGTCATTTCGAGGCCTTTTATAGCTGACTGTGCGGTATGGGCTTTGCTCATTGTTGAAGGCCGTACGGTGACCTATAGTTATTAATTTCTGTGTCATTTGGTCTCTTGTGGGGAGTTGTCTCGTTGGTAATCATACCACATCTTCTTTTTTATATTAGTTATTAAAGGCATTTAACTTGTTATATAAGACACTTGGGAATTACTGGGAAGCTTGCGCAGAACCTCATTACATGCTCTGATCATTATTTCTTACAATAAATTAAAATACATTGTAATTAAGCATGATGAATGTCTGAGCAAATGCTTAGGAATGATGTAGAGGAGCTGTAATAACACTCGTTAGTTATTATAGGCATATTTTTTTCAGTAATAACATAGGTGTACTATGCATGATTGGCGAGCTATGAACTGTTATATCTTTCTATAGTTAAGTATACATAAAGACAATAGTAATATCAATAGAACCTGTGTACATTTTAAGAAAACTAATGATGTATATTGTCCCTTTGAAACATGTAACATGCATATGTTATCACAGTTCTTGGATTTTTTAGTCCACAATAACAAATGTATGTTATTTTTCTGTAATAACCCTATACATGCTATAGAGTTATATCCTTGACTGATTATGTTAATTGGCAATATTAGTAAATGCATGCAATAATTTCTGAAATTTACAGTATATAGGCTTTTAACCCCACCATATGTTTGCACCTGTCCCAAGTCAGGAGCCTGTGGCATTTGTCAGTTTTGTATGATTTTTAATTTTAGTTTCTTTTATATATTTCGGAGTTTAGTATGACGTCCATTATCACTGAACTAGTATACATTTTTGTTTAGGAGCCAGCTGAAGCACGCCTCAGGTTGTGGGATTTTCTCGCTGCATTGAAGTCACATTGGTGATCTTCGACTGTTATCTGCTCTTTGGGCGGGTTGTTTTCTCTCTGACACATTCCCCATTTCTATTTTCAATTTTATTTTAAATTCTATTATAAATGTTAGGCTTCTTGTTTTTTTTTTTTTACATTTGTCATTTCGAGGACTTTTATTATATTTACAGCTTTCTATATGCATAGGTGCTTGAGGACAGGATCCTGTTTTGAGCCCCCCCCCCCACCACCACCACCACCACCACCATAGTCCCTCCCCCTTCTTATCATAAATCTTAGATTTTTCAATATATATCACTTATTTGTGCCATATATATACTAATATACCATATTTTTACTCTTGATATGCATGTTTACTATCAACGTGAATCTCGACTCCTGTCCTCAAGCACCTATGTCTATATGGTGTGAATTTTGCTCATTGTTGATGGTCGTACGGTTATCTATAGCTCAGCGAAGCAACATCACAACTGTTTCCAAGTTTGTGAAGTCAGAGGACTATATTCATCTTTCCGACTTTCGGATCATTTGTTGATTTTTCATGAATATGTGCCATTCCAATATGAAATAGCTATATCATATTAAAAAACCTTTCAACTAGGATACTCATTTGGGGAACTAATGATTTGTTGGGTTTTCCCTAGTCCAAATAAATATGACGTCTGGCAAGGCTATTTTAATTTTTTTTCTGGGACGCCTAAATAGCCTTGTAAGACGTCATTTCCCCCACCATCGACATCGTCCTGTGGAAGAAACGAGTTTGGCGCATTAACAAAAAGATCATGTCCGTAGTGACAAGTTAGTGTGCGTGCTTACCAATATTTGAATTTTATGAGCCTTCTTTTTGAATATTTTCTTCATTTTTTGGTACAAATTATACTGATGTGTGATCATGTCGAGTGCTGTTGTTGTGCTGTTTATTTTTTACAAAAGCGATCAAGTAATGCAGGGGAAGGACACTTACTTAAAAGACCAAAATGAGCCGCAACTAATAGGTACATAAATATTTTACTATGCAGTCAGTATCCCGATATACATGTATATACTCTTAGACTCATTTCACAGCGTACAAGTGAAAATACTCGTTAGTCATGAACATTTTAGATCACTTTAAATTTAGATTTTATAACTTAAATTACGAAAGATGATAATTTGTCAAATGAGCCCATGTAACCAGGTGCTGCATTTTTTAGCACGCGTCAAAAACAGTTTAAAAAAAAACCTCCTCCAGCTTATCTGATTAATTCACGATCACTCTGAGTAAAGAAAGTAAGTCACAATTGCTTATATCAGGTATTTTAAATTCTGGTTGATAGTTGTCTCATCACCAATCATACTACATCTCCTTATTTTTTTTTACAATAAAGCTATATTTAGATGCGGTATAGTGATGAATGTGTAAACATGCAGCATTCTTATAAATAATTGTTAAAATACAGCACAAAAGATGCATGATATATCAAACTCGAGTCAACGCCATGTCAAAAACTAAAAACAACAACAACAAAAAACCCCGACCAAATGACAAATAGTCTATAAAAACAAACTATAGCATACCAAAATATATAAGTTGTAAAGACTTGCATGCAACTAGGCCTATATATACAATAGCTCTATGTTCTTATAGATCTCATAACATTACGATTAAAAGTCAGATTATGTGTGTGTAAGTTTATTAGAAAATTCAACGAGACACGTCCTAATCAGGTAAAATCCAAAATAACAATTTACAAATTCAGATCTACTGCCTGTTGTATATTGCTTACATGACTGTATATTGCCGAACGAATAGATATGTTTGGTACGGGATGGCGGCTTCGAAGCGGAGACAAAAAGACCAAGATAGATGAAAGTGTAGAATTTTTTTGTTGAGAATTTTTTTTTTAAAGAACTAGATTCGTATCTCAGAATTTGAATATAGCATCTCGTTTTCTTTAGATAAATTGTTAGCTATTACTGGCTATAATAATTACCCCCTTATAAATATTCGCAAAACATGAAGTTAATGATCAATGAATATGAAAACACTTAATAAAGTATAAATATTGGTAAACGGACAGCAAGTCATAGGACTATTATAGTTCGAATAAATTAGTTTACAATAACTGTTGAAAGGTTATGAGAGAAAAATCTGGATGAATTTATTTTTATTAGAAT